ACTTCTTTTTTGAACCAGAGGCTCATTTATTTTGCAAAATTTTGTCCAAACACGCAAAAACGCAAAAAAATAATTAATATTAATGTTATTTCGTTTGTTTCACTCGATTTAACTGATCTCTGAGCAAAATAAGACAAAAATAAGCTGAAAAACCACAAAATTTGGCCGAAAATGCTCTTCAGCACGTTTTTGTATTAANTCGATTTAACTGATCTCTGAGCAAAATAAGACAAAAATAAGCTGAAAAACCACAAAATTTGGCCGAAAATGCTCTTCAGCACGTTTTTGTATTAAAATCTCACGTTTTTCGCAAAATTTCGCTAAAACAAAGTAAAAAATGAATTATTTTTCTCAAGCGTTTAGAAACGCAATTTTTTCGCAAAATTTTGTTGAAAACAAGCCGAAAAATCACAGAATTAAGCAAAAATGCATGTCATTTTTTATAAGCTGAAAATGCGTTTTTTTCGTGAGATTTTTCCATACAAATCGTAATCTGGTAATAATTTGGCAAATTTTTCAATCGGATCTGGTGAATTTTATGTTTTTGATCTGGCAACACTGGTTTTAGTGCCAACAAGGGAGTTTAAAAATTTTGCATTGTCAGTGTTTATGAATAAAAATGCAAGGTAGACAAACACATTATGTGAAATATGTAGTATAAAATGACACGAGAAATAGGTTTTTCAGTAGGTAGGTACTGAAATTTGTGATTCAAAAAACATGCAACAAATAATTGCTGTCACGGTTATCACTAGAATTACGAAATTGGTTATTTATCAGTACCCCTCAGGTATTGCTTGCAATTATGTCAGTTGCAAGGTTAGTTAAAATAGTATATTAACTAAAAGTATATTAAAAAAAGTTAAAACAGTATATTAATTAAAACAAGTGTTACAAAAATTTCCGTTGTGATACGAGTCACGCAGTGGCGAGTGTTACAAATGCACAAAGGTTTGTAACACGTATTTTTTCACTTTTTGTATCAAGGCACTAAAGTTTTATTTTTTATTACTAAGGCTCGAATTATATGCAATATGCATATTTATTATTAAGATGTATATCAACAAAATTGTAAGTTTTCTATGCATATCTAATTTTTTTGATTAAAATAAGCCTAATAAAAATGCATATTTTGCATTTTTGTCAACGTCGTGCACATTTTACGAAATATTTCATATTTGTGCATATTTTCTTCAAATCACAAATTTCCAATAAAAAAATTCAGTTCAAGTTAAAAATTGGAGTTTTTAAGAAAATGCACCGTTTACAAAATATGTTAAAGAGAAAACAACCAGTAAATCGTAAGCTGGACTCAAAGAATCAGTATTCTGCTGAGTGTTTCATTTTTAAATTGGTTTTATACAGGGTGAATATAAAATATCGAACCAAGCCTTTTTTTAATATAAATGAAAGTAATATAAATTAAAGTAATATAAAAAATGTGATCGTATTTTGAAAACGAAATTTTGTTTGTTATGAGATTTTCTTTTTTGCAATTGTTTTGTCAAAATTGCAATTTATGTAAAAAAAAAATTGAAAAAATTTAATATACCTAAAGTAGATACTCGTAGTTGTAATGCTTAGATCACAACCTTCATGAGAAAAATGTTTTTTTATTGGGTTGCTATTTAATAAAATAAACATTTTTGTGGAACTCAAAAACAAAACAAAAATTTCGAAAAATTTTCTTCTTGATAAAACATCACATTTTTATAGTAGGTACTTTGTCCATTCATCAATTAGTTTTTCCAAAAAATAAATAGTTTAAGCAAAAAATGTTTGGTTCCATACTTTTTATTCACCTGGTATTTTATTTTTAATAGTTTTTATTAAAAGTAATTACTAATTAGAAACATTATTTTTTGCGAATATCTTATGAATAGATAATCCCATTCAACTTTAGAAAAAAAGGTTCAAAAAACACTTTTATTTGATCTGTCGCAAGTGAGTCGGTGTCATTTGATGAAATTTCGAAATTGAGGTGGGAAAAGTTAAAGGGGGTGCTTTTTTTCGTTTTTTTTTTGCAAATTCTTTCTGGATCGTTTTTATGAGAACATCCTATATCTCATGAATGGATGGTCTGATTCAATTTTGGTAAAAAGTATTGAAAAGCTTGTTAAAATAGCTTTCATTTGATGTGCCACAAGTAGGGTAGTGCTATTTAAATTTTTAAAGTTGGGGTGCGTGAGGGTTAAAGGGTTACTGGGGGTGATTTAAAAAGTACGTCAAAAAATATCCCCCTCAGAAACAAAATCGACCTGTTTCGGCGTTTTTGCAAAGTCTTTTTAGTTTCTAAGATATTCGGGGTGGCTCGTTTTCATTGGAACACCCTGTATTTCTTAATATCTTGTGCAATTTTTTGGAAAAATACGTGCATATTATATGCCCATATTTTGTGCATTTAATCCGAGCCTTATGTATTACAAATGTGTGTTTAGTTGCCAAGGCAATAGGCGAGAAGCTTATTTATTTAAGTTAATTGCAATATGACAATTGACAATTTGAATTACAAATTGAAAAAAATGTACTATTATGAACTACTTTAGTGCCGATTTTAGACAATTTTACAGACTGACATTTTTAAGTGAGAAATTGTTGCAGTTCAATGTATTTCATCAATTTAAGGTATTTTCGAACAATTTGTGTACCGCATACGTCAAATGTCAAAAATTTTAACTGTCAAATATAATAATAAATTACAACCTCTCATTGTGATATTCGTGCATTGTGACAATATGTGATGTAACACTTGTTTTTTTACTGAAAACAGTTGCACAAAATGTTTTTGTGACCCTAAATAGAAAAATGATTTATTTTATGTCTCAATTGTAGTCAATCTCGAAAAAAAGATTATACCAATGTGATGGTTGCCCGCATGCGCACCCACCCCTAAGTTTATCAATAAAAACAAAATACGTCTAGAGCTAGAGAAAAAAAAAAGAAGCGTGAATCCCACTATAAGTTTACAAATGTTGTTAATAAAAAGTCAATAATTGCATTTAGGTTATTATCTCATAGATATTGCAACGGTCAAACTTGACATTGGTTTCCAAGGAAGTGCAATGAACTGCATCTATAACTGAATGACAGAAATGGACACGTGACAAAAATATACAGGTGGCGCATTTTGATTGATTGCACTTACCTGGCGATTCAGTATCTAAATAGGAACTCCGTGATCGAGTGACTACAGTTCGCTCCTCCATGGCTTTGGAGGCATTCCTCTTGAATTGTTCGAGGAAACAATCGATTTGGCTTTCGAGACTGGATTCGGCCATAATTCGAATTATGACATAATTTGCTTTGATAACACTTCACTGTCATCACGATTCTTCATATGTCAAGATGGGAAAAAGACCCATCGTGACAGCACAGCGGGCGCACACCTACTTCCAAAACAAACTGTTCACCTACTCTTCTCTGTTCTGTCTGATGATGATGTTCCCGTGTTCCGCTTGGAGCACTTATGCCCTCTACACACTCTTCAAAACAGAGAACTAACGGTTTGGATACAGTTTATGCATCTGCAGTTTGCTGTATGTACACGGTGATGCGCATGCGTCCACTGCGCATATATGCAAATGTCTATATTGCTGGTTGCTAATCAACACTCACACAAAATGAAAAAGACGGTTATTACAAGTCTAGACATAAAAGACGACTTTGGGCTTTTGAAATCGAATCAAAAATTATCGGTCATTGACATAGACTGAGTGAAAAAGTTAATTTTAATTCTATACTGTCCTTGTAATCAAGATGCGTATTTCCCCGAAACCCCCTAAGGGTAATTGTGTGGGATTAGCAATGTGAGATTTTCGGGTAAAATTACCCGATAAAATTAGTTTTTTTTTAAATGTGCACGCCACTGATTTGGTAACGTTACCCACCCCCCACTATTTCTACTATTGGTGTGCATCGTTGCCACGCCTTATTTACTTTATACAGGCTGTTCCGTCTAAACCCCACTTTAGAAGTATTGGGAGTTCGAATAATCATATTTATTTGAAAATTGGTACATAGTCGTAATCCATTAAGTCCTCTTAAATGAAAATAGTTTCAAGATGGCAACACTTCCGGTTATACAGGAAGTCGGTCTCAACTTTCTTATTTTAAATGGAAAGCTATTTTTTACTGCGTTTTTGACTAATCGGGTTATTTTAAAGAAGTTTTTATCAGTTATACTTAAATTTATTTGGAGTTTTTCAAAAAAATTTGGATTTGCACTTTAAAAATCGGCAACTCTGCTATTTTTTTAAATTTTGAATTTGTTTCTTTGGCGTTTGAAAGAGAAAGCTTAGAACTTTCTCGTGGTGTTTTCAAATTTTGATTAAAATAAGCCTAATAAAAATGCATATTTTGTATTTTTGTCAACTTCGTACACATTTTAGAAAATATTGCAAATCAAATTTCCGATTAAAAATTTCAGTCCAAGTTAAAAATTGGACAGTTTAAGAAAAATGCTCCGATTACAAAATATGTTAAAGACAAAACAACCGGTAAATCGTAAGATGGACTCAAGTATCCTGCTGAGTGTTTCCTTTTTAAATTCGTTTTATACAGGGTGAATATAAAATATGGAACCAAGCATTTTTTTAATATGAATTAAAGTAAAATAAAAAATGTGATCGTATTTTGAAAACGAATTTTTGTTTTCTTTTTGAGTTATGAGATTTTCTTTTTTGCGATTTTTTTGTCAAAATTGCAATTTATGTAACAAAAATTGAAAAAATTTAATATACCAAAAGTAGATAGTTGTATCCTTAGATCACAACTTGTGAAAAAAAAATAGTTTTTTAGTGGGTTGCTATTTAAAAAAATAAATATTTTTGTAGATCTTAAAAATAAAACAAAAATTTCGAAAAATTTTTTCTTGATAAAACATTACATTTTTATAGTATTTCATCCACTCATCAATTAGTTTTTCTAAAAAATAAATAGTTTAAGCAAGAAACGTTTGGTTTCATACTTTTTATTCATATTTGGAGTTTTTGAAAAATTTTTAGATTTGCACCTTCCACTTTAAAAATCGGCAACTCGGCTATTTTTATAAATTTTGAATTTGTTTTTCTGGCGTTTGAAGGAGAAAGCTTAGATCTTTCTCCTGGTGTTTTCAAATTTAAAAAATAAAATTAACAAACCCCAAAATTTTAGGGTTACTTTTGTAATAATTCAAATACCCATAACTCAATTTTTCCAAATGCAGTACCCCAATTTTTATTTTACTAAATAGAAGAGACTTTAATTCTGCATCGGTCTGTATTAACATTCCCTAAACCTAAATTTAATAATTTTCAAGTTATGGTGACTTTTTTTAAGACTGCAAAAAATCCATTATTAGTCACACCCGTTTTCGCATAGTTTGCTATGGAAATCAAAAATGTCAAAATTGTTTCTCAATAAATGTCAACAGTGAATTATTATTTGACAAATAGTGCCAAAATATGAAGAATAAAAGCTACTCAAACTTAGATTTAATTAATTTATTTTGTATTTATGGAGAGTGTATCAAAATTATGCGCAAAACATGATGTTCATTAAACAAAAATATTTTTTTCTCACTTGCTAGCTTTATTGTAGTTTATACAATAAAATGCAATAAGAATAATAATAAATATTACTGGCTACTTGATAATTAATATAACTACTATCATGTGAATTGATAATTAGAGTAGGCTTTATTAGGTTTTTAATTTGTATGAAAACGGTTATTATCATAGTTAATCAAGTTGAAGAGTCAAATAATAATAATAAGATTTCGAACGGTAATATTTAATTAGAATACTTTTTTTTCTTCAGTTTGATTTAGTTTATCATTTATAAAAACAAAACCGCCTACTCTAATTATAAATTAAAATAATCGTATGGTAGAACCTATCAATAATAATTAAGTTTGAATAACTTTGATTCTCCATATTTTGGCACTATTTGTGAAATAATAATTTACTGTTGACGTTTTTAGAGAAAATTTTGACATTTTTGACGGGTGTGGCTAGTAATAAATTTTCTGTAGTTTTAACAAAAAGTCACCATAACTTAAAAATTATTAAATTTAGGTATATAGGGATTGTTAATACTGATCGATGCAGAATTAAATTCTCTTCCATTTAGTAAAATAAAAATTGGGTTTGTTAATTTTTTTCAAAATTTGAAAACACCAGAGGAAAGATTTAAAAGCTTTCTCTTTCAAATGCCAAAAAACAAATTCAAAATTTTAAAAAATAGCAGAGTTACCGATTTTAAAATTGGAAGGTGCAGATCCAAAAAATTTTGAAAAACTTTAAATATTTCAAAAACGTCTAAACTATAGGGGAAGCTGATAAAAACTCTCTTAAAATAACTCAATTAATCCAAAAACGCAGTAAAAATTATAGCTTTCCATTTAAAATAAGAAAGTTGAAACCAACTTCCGATATAACCGAAAATATATTCATTTAGGAGGACTTAATGGATTATGGATACGTACTAATTTTCAAATAAATATGATTATTCAAACTCCCAATACTTTTAATGTGGGGTTTAGACGGAACATACTGTATATAGGTGCAAAATGCACGATAATAGGTCATGTACCCAACACAAGTGGGCTGGGAATTAAAACTATATTCATTCATAAAAATCAGAATGGTTTGTCATCGCACACTCGAAATTGATTACTTGTAGAGTAAAGTGTCATTGAATATCAAATTGATAATTTTCCCTCGGTATTTTCATTTAAATTAATCACGCAAGCGCAGTTTGGTGTTCTCAATGACAGTTCCAGGTCGAATCAGTGACTATCAGAGTGCGTTTTCGGTATTCGACTATTCAAAAGTGTACCAAAAATCCGAACTTTTTTTAGACTATATGGCCTAGTCTTAGTGTAGGCACCAGTGCTGGCAATCACACTGTTACAAATAGTTGAGCTCTTGGCAATCGTCAGTCAGCAGTGAAGTGTTGACTGCACTGTATGTGCAGATAAAAGTTTTTCTTCGTAAATTTTCTCAAATCACAGTCATGGGAGGTACGTAATTCAGTTTTTAACACCAATTAACAAAGCGACCTTTTTATGTCGAGATTTTATAAAAACAACAATTTTTTGCCGAAACTACAAGAATTAAATTGACACGGCGTAAAAATGTCCATTTTATTTGAAATTAAAATTTGGAGATAATTTTTTGTGTAAAAAAACGATTAGTTTTTATTTCAACTTTCAACTAGTTTTCAACAGGATAAAATTACGCGGGTACAGAAATAAGTAGAAATTGTTTCTTTGCATCTAAATATACACAGACGTAAATGTTACCTTGAGATTAATAATTATTCTTCTGAGACTGGCCCGAAAAGTAATCGACTTTTGTGGGTCAGAAAAATCAAGATTTAATCCAATAAAATTGAACTCTGGGTTTGAATTTAAAATACACATAAATCGGTTTATTTTGAAAATTGTCAATTTATCAGTGACGTGTCTATTTTTTAACACTTTCGCTGACATTCGCATTGATAACCCGAAAATACATACTTATTTTATTGACAACGTGAAGATTTACTACGACAATCAGACATGAATGAACCTTGACATCTGATAAGTGATAACAAATGCAAGGTGTCAGAACTCGCACCCCAGAGAAAAAATTCAGGTACATGAAAAAAATGTTTAAAAAATTGTCAATAAAATTTTGACATTTGACATTTTTTATGTCTATTTAACATTAAACAGAGTTACAATTTAGTATGCATCTTCTTGTTTCCTCTTCTAGTAGTTTGGAAAATTATTTTTCCATCAGAAATAAATACAGGGTGCGTCAGAACTCGCGCCCCAGAGAAAAATGCCAGATGCCAGGAGCATGGAAAAATGTTAAAAAAATTCTATCTATAAAAATTTCGAAATTATGAGAGTTTAAATTTTGCACTTTGACTCTATTATTTGTTGGAAAAATAATTTTCCAAGTTTTTTTGCTACAGGCTATTAGAAGAGGAAAGAATGAAGCTGTATCCTAAATTGCAACACTAATTAATATTATTTGTGGCTTATATTGGCAAAATTTTAGTACCTTTACTAAATAATTAAAAAAAAAACAGATCATCAGTATCATTAAATAGACATAAAAAAATGTCAAATGTCAAAAAATAAATGCCAAAATTTTTTGACAGAATTTTTTTCATGTTCCTGGTATCTAATCTCTGGGGCGTGAGGTCTGGCGCACCCTGTATTTTTGGCGTTTACCAATTTGAATGTTTTTGTGGTCACTTGGCCTTAATGTTTTTGCAAAACTATATTTTGGTAGGTGTTGAAATACCAGTATTTTTAGCCCCGCTATTGATTGTATTTATAGATTATGTTGGCGTTTTGTATCGCATTGAAAACCTAAAACACCTACTTATTTGTCAGTAAAACGCTATAATTAAATAATTTTTATTTACGTCTTAATAGTGAAGGTCTCACGATATAGCAATGCGCAGGAAGACTCATCTCTATTATTTTTATTTCAAGTGGAAACTTAGTCGTGGGGTTGTTATTTTTAATTCACATTTTGTTTTGTGTATATTTAGGTGCACCAGATGGAGGTTTGAATATTGTTAAATTTCCTTGGCAGGAGTTTGCGGATGTAATAAAATTTATTTTTTGGTTATTACGCATTTATTTAATTCGAAAAATTTTCATCCGCATTTTTTCTAGGTTTTGCTTGGGTGACTTTAGCCACGAACGATTCGTACTCTTTGGGGGCCCTAGTTTTGGCCCATTCCCTCAAACAAGTAGGGACCAAACACCGATTGGCCGTGCTTGTCACTCCTGGAGTCACCAATTCGATGAGGTGGGTCCACTTTCCCCTAGATGTGGTTGAAATTTTTTTTTCTAGAGCAAAACTCGCAACTGTTTTTGATCTCGTCCAGGAGGTTAATATTTTGGATTCGAAAGATGAATCGAATCTAAGGTTGTTGAAAAGGCCTGAATTGGGGGTTACATTTACGAAATTGCACTGCTGGCGCCTTACACAGTTCGACAAATGTGTATTTTTGGATGCAGACACGTTGGTATGTTTGATATTTAAATGCGTAGCAGAGTCTAATGTCGAGCGAAAAAGAATTAAATTTTATTTCGACACTCCTACACGTAGTTGCAAAGAAAGAAATATTTTTGGAAATTTCGGGTGCCAAAAAAGTCAATTTGAGGTCACCAGTTTTTGGCCAACACTACTAAACAAATATTTTTAATAGTTTTGTTTACATAAACGTAACTATTTTAGGTATTACAAAATTGTGATGAATTGTTTGAGCGAGAGGAATTATCAGCAGCGCCTGATGTTGGCTGGCCTGATTGCTTCAATTCGGGGGTTTTCGTTTACCGGCCTTCGAACGAAACTTATGATAAGTTGGTACAATTTGCTGTAGAAAAGGGCAGTTTTGATGGTAATTAACAACACAAAAATTTCTTAATTTGGTTTGATTTTATTCAGGAGGGGACCAGGGATTGCTTAATTTGTATTTTTCTGATTGGGCCACCAAAGATATTAGTAAACATTTGCCATTCATTTACAATCTTTGCTCCACAGCGTGTTACTCATATTTGCCAGCTTTCAAACAGTAAGTTTTCAGAATTTAATATGTTACCTTTTTCTATTGCAAAATTTATAGATTTGGAGCTGATGCGAAAATAATTCATTTTATTGGCTCATCAAAGCCTTGGTTGCAATATTTCAACACGGAAACAAGAAAAGTACAACCGACTCCTGATGTGAAACACTTGGAAGCCATTTTGCAACAATGGTGGAATATTTTCTGCCTTCTGATCCACCCTGCGTTAACTCCAGACATGGTGAGATATTTTTCCGTGTGTTTAAGCCAAAATAAAGTATCCCAAATACTTTATTTTTGTGCGATTGTCGAATTTTAATTAGTAAAATCGTTTGAAATATTGCAAGCCTAAAGACAGATGTGATAATAATAAGGTGAGTCCGTTTAAGAATTTTGCACTTTTTATGACCAGTGCTACAAAAAGTGACTAATTCATAAAATTTACTTTCACTAATTCAAAATTGTTGCATGGCGCACTTTTTTGCTTTTGTATTTTGAGTTTTGATCGGCATTTATTTGCATGGTTACGTGAATAAAATATTTATTGATGTTTATACTAAAAACTGAATTTTTTCTTTCTTTTGCATGCTTTTGTTTGCTCAGGCTCGAAGCAGTTCAGATGTTACGCACACTAAGTCCTTTCGCACTTCCCCCCAACCTAAAAATATTCCCGTTTGGGATCCTTGGGAGGAGTACGACCTAAAACAATCATTTCCCGTCACTCAAACCGAGCCTAATCCCAATCAGGAAAAATCCCAAATCCCGGAAATATTTGAGCCACAAATAAAGCCTGTTGAATCTCACAATACAAATGCAGATACCGCCAGTCATGAAAGTAGTTCCTATTTAAATCCCGAATCGAAATCCCAAAATTTTGAACCCTCGAATTCATCTTGTGATAATCCTCAATTTGAAGACTGCCATCCCACTCCAATAGAGACTGATAATTACGTTCCTAAGCTTTTACACGTTGAACCTAAACCTACTGATGATGTTCCTAAGCTTTTACACGTTGAACCTAAACCTGCTGATGATGTTCCTAAGCTTTTACACGTTGAACCTAAACCTGCTAATGATGTTCCTAAGCGTTTGCACATTGAACCTGAACCTAATAAACCTAGTCCTCCCGTGCCATCAAATGACTGTGAAGCTGCCGCTGTTTGTGAAAAGACATTGCATACACCCCCTTGTCAGGATAAGACTGATGTGAGTATTGTTTGTTGGGGTTTGGAAAAAAATTTGAAATTTGTTGTAATTGCAATTTTTTTTCCACAGACTGGATTAGCTGGTGCCTTTGCCCAGCTCACTTTAGGTGCGCCCAGGACTGCGGAACAAAGTGCCCTTGATGACCATTTGAGACGACAAGGCTGGGAAGTTGGGAATATCGATTATATGGGAAGAGACTCGTTTGATAATATTTGGAACAAGATTTGTCAAACTCTCTCAGCGGGATTACCGGAAGACGCTCCGAAAACTACAGGTGTGGCTTAGTCATTTTTGTGGCTTAGATTATTTAATTTCAAGTTTTGCATGTTTATTTTTTAGAATTTTGTTTTTCTTTTTATGGTAATGTTATTTTTTTTTGTTATTGTTTTACCGCCACATTTGCTAAATTTATTTTTATATACTTGGAATTTATATTTGTAAATCTAGACGCGAAACCTCCAGCGACTGATGCAAAACCGGTTGAGGAAAAAGTACCCGAAGGTCAGTTGGCTGCCAAGATAGCAATTATGCCTAAGAAGATAACACCGCTTGCTAATGTTTAGGACAAGGCTGACGTGAAATTGTTATTTTTTGAAAGAGTTTGTAATTTGATTAATTTAATAAATATTGCAGCTTTCAGCAAATTGGTTTAACTGAGTGCCGTTTCATTAACCCTAACACACCTCTGCATCTACTAAATGAGTGTTTAAGGTTTTAGTGTTTTCATTATTAACCCTAAATTTCTACTAACATTTCGGGGGTTGAAGGGCTCATTCTCTATTCCATCAAACCATTTACAGCACCAGCAGCACCTCCTCAAGAAGCTAAACTTGAAACACCCAAACCACAAGAAACTCAACTTTCCACAGAATGTCCCCAATGTCCAATTACACAAAAACCTAAAGAAGAAACTCCACAATGTCCATTACCACCGAAAGTACAAGAAGTAGCCGAAAAACCGAAAGAAAGTGACAAACCTGAAATTCCCCAAACTCCCGCTACTCCCACTAAAGAAGTTCCTGTAGCCCCACAACCTCCAATTGGTACTGCAGCTCCCTCAGCACAGCAACCAATTGGAACCCCGCCACAAGAAATCCCCATTGCGCCTCAAATTCAGCCAACAGCTCCAACTCCCCCTGAAACTTTGCAACCTACACCACAACCTCAAACACCACCAGTTGTAGCAAAAGAACAACCATCGGCTCCAGTTGCACCACAAGGGCAACCTCCAGCTCCAATTACAGAACAACCTAAAGCTCCAACTGCACCACAGACACCGCCAGTTGCTACCACAGAACAACCCCCAGCTGCGGCCGCTCCACAAACACCGCCAGTTGCAGCAAAAGATCAACCTCCAGTTGCAATTGTACCACAGACACCTCCACTTGCAGCCGCTCCACGGACACCCCCAGTTGCAGCTCCTCCAGCTGCAATTGTACCACAGACAGCGCCAGTTGCAGCACAAGAACAACCTCCAGCTCCAGTTGTACCACAGATACCACAAGCCGCAGCAAACGAACAACCTCCAACTCCAGTTGTACCACAGACACCCCCAGTTGCAGCACAAGAACAACCTCCAACTCCAGTTGTACCACAGACGCCCCCAGTTGTAGCATCAGAAAAACCTCCAACTCCAGTAGCAGAACAACCTCCTGCATCTCAAGCTCCGCCTGCTGAACCTGACAAAGGAAAGGTTGAATCGATACAATCAAAGCCTGAAACAACACAAGCCACTCCACAGACACCACCAATTGCAGCACAAGAACAACCTACAGCTCCAGTTGCGGCCACTCCACAAACACCCCCAGTTGCAGCAAAAGAACAACCTCCAACTCCAGTTGTACCACAGACACCCCCAGTTGCAGCCGCTCCACAGACACCGCCAGTTGCAGCACAAGAACAACCTCCAACTCCAGTTGTACCACAGACACCCCCAGTTGCAGCAACAGAAAAACCTCCAACTCCAGTAGCAGAACAACCGCCTCCAGCTGCAGCTGCATCTCAAACTCCGCCTGCTGAACCTGGCAAAGGAAAGGTTGAATCGAAACAATCAAAACCTGAAACAACGCAAGGTGGGGCGTCTGTAGCATCACCTACTCCTCCACCTCGTAAAGGAAGTGGTGGTGGAAAGAAGTCGAAATCAAAAAAATAATTATTGTATTTCTTATAGTGTGTTCAAAACAGCCTTTTTTGTTTCATTTAACGTGCTAACGCAGTTATATTGCGTAACAAAAAAGCCTAATATGGGTTAGAGTCGTTGTTTTTTTTTGTATTTATTTATAATACTTGCGTAAGTAGTTAGTTGCTGATTTATACTTGGTTGTGTTTCTATGAAAATAAAACAATTTTTCAAGCGATTTTATTTATTCATTTTCTGTGTTGGATTTGCATTACGTAAAAAAACAAAAAAAAAATTAAATAGTCCATTTCTTACTAAAAAGAGCCAAGTATAGAGTTGACTGATAGAAGGCAAAAATATACATAAAAAGAACCATACAAATCCGTCTTAGTGAAACATAAAATTAAACCTAAACAATGACAAAACCAACTTGGAAGTAAATAGAAAACTTCTTTCAATGTTATTGAGCGTGTGTTCAAACCTCCATAAAATTGATGAAATCCCTTATTGTAATAAAATATTCCTCAGTATTTGTGTTTGTGTCGATGCTTTCTTGATGATTCCGGCGAGTGGTACCTCGACCGATAAGGTGACGTACTCCCCCGACGACTTCTAGGCGAAGGAGATCTACGATTTCGAGGAGAAGAAGACCTACGACTACTTTTTGTACGTGAAGGTGACGGTGAACGCCGACTTTTCGCAACACGAGCAGGTGAACCATATTTACCATTAGATGAACCAATCGGAGAGAGGGAATCTTTGGACTTGCGGGAGCGGGAGGAGGAGGAGGGAGACTGGCGTCGGATATGAGGGGGGCTGGGAGGACTCGGTCCTCGGTAACTTTTCTTCCTTGGTGGCGAACGGCTTTTTGACCTGGGATATACACAGCACAAACATGTTTACATAACATCGTTACAACTCTCCTAAACTAGAAAAAAAATGATACAGTATCTGTTACCTGTGTTTCGATGTTGAACCACTTGAAGAGCTGCGCGAGAGTTTTTTTGATTTTCTAGATTTACTACAAAATTAGTAAGAACCTTGTCGGACATAACGATAAAAAAATGGTTTCCCATTAAATGTATTCACTTACATTTAATAAGAAACAAATCATCTAGGAATTTACTTACAGTTCTTTATAATATAACTCGTCCTCTGAACTGTCTTCTTTCCGGTCATCTTTCTTATGTTTGTCACTTTTCGGATCTTTGTCTTTCCTTTCTTTTTCACTTTTCTTCAACAACTTTCTTCTATAGTGTTCCACTTGTTGGGGTAATGTCCATCCAGTCTTCAAAGCCCTTTGGCCCGACTCTAACTCATCTTGGTATTGTACAGCTTTCACTTCAATTTCCCTCAATTTGTTTCTTCTTTCTTCTGTCATATTTCTAAAAATGGGGTTAATAAAACACAAAAATGTTAATTGGGCGGCTTTACCTCGTATCGGTATAATCAATGGAATCTTCCTTATCATTTGAGGAACCATCTTGACTAGGATCAGCACTACTTCCCAACAAATCCCACTTACTTGTAGTCATAGCTTGCGCTTCAACTTGCTCAGGATCGATTGTTTCCCACTTTGACATGATGAAACCTGACAAAGGCGCCACCGCTGGTTTCTTCTGAGGGAGCACAACATCATTAGGATCATCAACAATTTCCTTCCCGTCGATATCATCATTTGAAATTGTGGTGTTTTTGTAACGTTTCATTGCACTTTTAAGCAACGTTGCTCCGTCCATTGGGACATCATCGTCGGTCTCAGGCTGGTCTTGCAAGGGGTCGCCATCTATATCAATATTTGACTCAACAACTGGATCTTCTTTAGGTTCCTGACAACACAAATGTGACATTAAATCGATCATTTGATCATTTGGTTCCCTCACCGGTTCTTTAATACCCAAGAAAATGGTTCGTAATTTATTAACGTAATCTTTGTGATAAATCGAATCGTCCAAAGCTTGCAATATTCTCAAAACTCGCAACTTGCAACCCTCAGCCTGCAACCTCCCCTCCAACTTATCGTAGGATTTCTTCACTTCTGTCATTATATCTACGAGTTTTGACTCGAATCTGCAACAAATGGTGAGATGCTATTACAGGAAACTGTAATCACTTACGCTTTGCGATAGTAGGACGCATTGTTGACTTTTACACCACAGTTGTGCAAAATATCGGAAACTAGATAAAGTCTTGCAATTTTCTTAGTGATAAGAGTCGAAGCATTTGATAGTGATTCAGTGATACACTCGACGACTTCCTCAGCGGCATCACTATGCTCAATGCAGAAAACCATAGCCTCCCCGATTTTGCTCCTCTCTGGGGTCAATGACCTTATCAAGTCTTCCAATCGGTCACGTTGGCTATAAATAACAAAATATTTTTTGTATAATTTCACAATTTAAGTACCGTGCGATCAAAAAATAAATAAATTAGAGTAGGCGGTGATTAAAGTCCTTCAGATGGCAATCCTGATTTTTGACATCAAATGTCAGCGGAAAATTTGACAAGAGTGAAATAATGTTCACTTTAGAACACAAAATTTTTATTGCTGTAAAAGAGGAAAACGGTGGATGGTCATTTTCACTTTCAGTTTGTGTGGAAAATTTCCAGCCAATGTGTTGTCAACTGTAAAATTTAATCGACGCCTACTCTAATTTATTTTTTATTTGATCGCACGGTATAATGTTTTTCACTTTAATGTGCATCAAGTAGGTTGTAGAAGTGTCATTAATGTCATTCAGAACAAATTTAATCACGTCAATATTGACAAAAACCTTTAAGTTTGCTACTCTATGTTATTTTTTGCTAAATGGGGTACACATTTATTTAAAAAAAATATTTTTAGGGAAGATTTAGGTTAGGATTGTTTAAATTTTCGCATGGTTGCCACCTTAAAAAGATCCCTTTCAACGACTACTTCGATGCAAATTACTATGAAAATGAGTGACATACGTGTTTGAGAGTGACCCCTTCGTGTTTTCTTTCCCCTCATCGTCGTTAACCAATTCATCAGGCATTCCGGCAGTGTAAGAATTCATAAGTGGGGGCTTCCAAATTGAGCCACCTTTTTAAACCAAAAATCAACATTATTGTTTTTAAACCAAAAATTCTTACTTTTGAAAAGCCGAAACTCTTTCACGCTCCATTCCTTCTGGGAATCCCCGTGCATGATCGAGTAGAGTTTCCACCGGTAGTAGATATGTGCCGGGCTTTGATTTTCAAAAAGAAACCTGTAATTCGGGTTGTGTATCTCCCTGTTCATGATCATGGCCTCCAACATGGGGCCCTCCCGCACCACAAACTCGACCATTCGATGTATCAACATTAACAAATTCCTGTCGGTTGGAATAACAACTTTGACGACGCTTCGTGTCAAAATTTCGTTAAGTTCCTCCGCCGATTTGGGCAAAACGTCTTTGTCTCTGGCACAGGGTTGCGCATTGAAGGGTAGACCTGACGGTGGGGGCGGAAACGACAACTCAAGGAGCGCGGGAGGGATGTAAATGGGGTGTGGAGGGATTATTACCGATTTTCCCCATCCTAGCTTCATTTCATAGCCGAGGATTTCTTTGCCGTTTAAATTACGAAGAGCCCTTTCGCCGTCTTTGCGACTCATGTAAGCAACAAACCCGCAATTGCGACCACGGGCCTTCTCCTCATCGGACCGGGGCCACATTATTTTAATACTAGCAAGGGGGCCGTAACGACCAAAAATTTCCATTAATTGTTGCTCAGTTATCTTAGGGTTTAGGTTACCAAGGTAAAGATTCGTGGTAGTGGGATCACCGTTATCAAATGACCCCAAGTCACCACTCCGTAAAAACATGTCCAGTTCTGACTCCATTGGGGTCCGTAGGACCCCTTTGTACTTGTGTCTTTCTTCTCGCTCCTCTTGAATTCTACCAAAATAGTTTTAGATCAAATATTTAGCAAATTTGTTAATCTTACTGTCTTAATTCCTCTTTAAACGCTTCTAGGTTGCTCTTCGTGTGTTGTTTCTTTTTCCCTAATCTTTCAGGCTTTTTATCCGATATTAATTTTGCATAAAATTGTGCTTTTTCAGTTGATGCCATTAATTCAGTTGGGGCTAGTCTAGACTGAGGTTTATACAACTTCCCCTTATCCTTAGTGTCTTCCTCTACAAAACCACAATTTATTTTTTATAATTTCAAAAAAAAAAAAAGTACTTCTCGCTCCCGCATCATAAGTCCCCGCTTTAACCCACACTTTACTAGAACTACTAATGGGAGACTCTTGAAAAGTAGCGACGAATTCCTCAAAAACCTAAAATTGATGAGGTTATGTAAATGAACAATTTCAAAACTAGTCCTACATGAGCCGCAGCCCTTTCCTCTTCTTTTTTCCGTTGTTCCTCCAATTCTTTCTTAGATAGTGTCCTTTTCCCCATTGTACCGATCGAAAAAGCTTTTAATTTTTGCTCAGGAATATTCTGTTTAGGAGAAAAACTTTAAGTCTTACGGATTTTTAATTAGAGTAAACTACCTTTATTTTATCACCCATTTTCGCTGTAGTTTCCGCCAGACACTGCACAAAACGATTTTAACAAATTAATATTGAAGGAAACGTAATAATAGTCATAATATAATTATTTAACTTCTGGAGATGAAAAAATAATAACACACTGGTGTTCCTAGGGAATTTATGTTTTGCACTTTCTGAGGGAGTGGTGACACTGCGTTAGCAATTTTGCAAAAAATTCATTAACTAGGCTTAACAAAACAACAAATTAAATCAAATTTACAGTGTTGATCTTTTTGTAATAAATAAAAAAAATAAACGTAAAAGTCCAATTATGTAACGAGCACAAGTATTATTGGTTGCCTATATAAACATCAAATATTTTTTTTATCTTTATATTATCTCATCGTTTTATATTTATTTCAATAACTCCATAAGTACAACTTTTATAGCCATGTTAATAAAATTTGTGACCATATCAAGTTACCACTAAGTGGTATTTATTTTACAAATAAACAAATTATTTGTGTTTATCCAAATTGTTCAAGTCATTAGCTTAATTATCTGTTTGTGCTTTTTGCTTAAATTGTCCTAATAACTTATTTGTGGGCACAATTAAAAAAATCCAATAGTTGGACCATAAAAAATTAAAAAAATATTCCAAATTCTTTAGTTGTGTAATTATCAGTTTCAAGTAGCTTATCTTATATTATGTAATATAGTGCACATCAATAGTATATTAAAAATCGAGTGTTACACTTTCATTATCCTTTTATAGCACTGTTTTTTGATAAAACGCGAAATAAAAAAAGAATGTTTTAGTGGTTTTGCATAATGACCTCGATAGTAAACACAAAAAAATGTAGGGAGTTGTTTGTTACGCTTGTTACGTACTTAAACAGTAAATACGTATTTTTTCTACTATTTTAGTAATAATTCAAATTGCAGAAGCAATTCGGACCCTACGCGATGAGAATCACTAATTACATAATCACTACTGTCAAGGCCTTTTTGGAGGTCACCGTTTCATTATTACATAATAGTGCTCTGTTTAGTTTTAATTCGAAAAAATCTATTTTATGTTCATCAATGTAGTAGTGTTTACGTGGAATTCTTGTATCAGAATTTTACGTTATCTCATTCATTTAGTCACAATTCTCCTTCCTTGTTTACTTGACCTCTTGCTCCCACTGGTGGGATGGGCAACAAATATTTCAACCAGTTTTTATTTTTAATTCAATGCAGTCGCGCCATCCAAGGCTGAATTCCCATCGAAGTGGTGCAAGTTTTGAAAAAAAGAAATAAAATACACTTTTGATTTTGCCAGAAATTTGTTTATTTAGGTAAGTAGAATTTTCTATTTTTGATTTGATTATTAAAAAAATATTTGGAATAAGTGACCATTCATATATCGAACAAAATTCACCACAAATCACAATACGTAATGTAGGTTAGGATTTTATGACATTTGTCATGAAAACACAATTTTTGATATTTAATTTTATACAGGGTGACTCTGAGTAATTTGTTTTATTTTGTTAGATTCCCGAAATGTCGCAGTGTCGCATTTGTTTAGAGAATTACTCAGGGACGTATTATGCCGGGTCTGAAATTAGGGGCCGGATTGAGTGCTATTTTGATGATGAGACTACAGTTAGAGGTGCATTGTTCAATATTTTAGTAGCAAAATATTTTAAAACTTGTTTCTAGGGATTAAAATTGAAATTAAATGTAAAGAACATAATGAATGGACTGGGACAGAGGAGTATAGGGACCCAACAGACAATTCAACTAAAACGAGACATATTACTTTAACTGGGGATCATGATGTGTTTCATATTAAACAGATGTTGTTTGGGTCTGAATCTGGGAGTCGGGAGGTGTCAAGAGGGCATCATGTGTACCCCTTTTCGTATCATTTGCCCTATGATATTCCTTCAAGCTATCACGGGCCCCATGGCTCTATCATTTATAAAATAAAGGCGGTAGTTGATAGACCCATGAGGACTGATTATGAGGATAAGTTTATTTTTAATGTTGTATCTCCAATTGATTTTAATAGGATGTCAAAGGACTTACAAGTAATTTCCCCACTGTGTTTTATGTGTTGTCTTTAATTACATTTTGTAGGAAACAACCTCATACTCTGACGACAAAACTGTATGTTGCTGGTGTTGTCAAGGTGGCGTTGTTACAGTGGAATTAGAATTACCAAAAATTGCTTTCACCCCTGGTGAAACCATTCCGTTTAAAGTTAACATAACTAATTTGTCCAACACAAATGTAGACAACATAAAAATAAAACTACGAAAAACTGTTACATTTAGGGTAACAGACCCCCAGAGTGAGACAAAAGTAGACGTTGATGATATTTTATCATTTGGAGAACACGGTGTGGGGGCACACGGCGAACACACCTACAACCTCACTCTTGCAATTCCTCCCGGTCTCGAAGTCCCCAATTTCACCAAATGCAATTTATTCAAAGTTGAATACTTGTTAAAAGTGACCGCTGAAATGGACTCTTGTACCATGGATCTGGACGTGGAAGCGTGGGACATCCAATTGGGGCACGTCCAGTACACGGGTACCAACCCTCCACCTAGCGCTTACCCTCCAACTAACTCTTACCCTCCATCGTCTGGTGTGGCATACCCGCCCCCGCTTGCCGGAGTATACCCACCTCCAAGTGGGGGGTATCCTCCAGCAGGTTTTTATCCTCCCCCTGCTGTACCTGCCCCCTACTCTCCAGGTTTTGCTTCAAATGGCCAGGAAAAGACAGCTCTGATGGGACCCCCTTCTGCCCCCATGGATGACAACCCCAAGGCTAGGGAAGCAGCAATGGGTGGTCCGTCAGCTCCCAGTAACGTACCCGATGCCCGTAAGTAATTTTTTGATGTGTATTATGTGTTGCATACTCACCGGGTTCAGTAACGCGCTAAATTTGAATAATAAACTATTTAATGTTTTTTTTCAGCACCTCCAACGTACAGCGAAGTGCAACAAGCCTCAAACTTACCCTACCCAGCCTACCCTCCCAAATAATTGTGTAGTTTGCAGAAAATAGATTTATTTATGTTTTTAAGGATTCTATTGATGACCAGTGTTAGGCGGCTGGGATTTGGTTTCTCCCAATCGCCTCGCACCACGTGTAGCATTGCTAGGTAGTGGGGGTAAATAAATCCCAACCGCCTAACACTATAGATAAGAATAGGGGGCAACTATTGTTGATTATGATGATTTGTCTAGACCTAGTGCTCTTACAAAGTGATCCTTATCTTCGATTTTGTTAAATAATAATCAGACGAATAAGTTTTTTGACAATTTAGTCGTCGCGTGATTTTTACTGTGTGTTTACTTGAAGTATTTCAAACAAAGAAAATTGACTGTTTCAATATATTTTATTTTAGAGTGTGATTTTCACTCCGTGGCACATGAAAATGATAAAGAAATATTCTGTATTTTGTGCAGTTTAGATATTGCTTTTATAAATAATTATATATTGTGCCATTTTAGATTGGTTGAATATTCAGGGTCAAATTTTGTGTTTTATCATGCGTTTTGCTGTATCTTGTTGAAAATTTTTGTGCATATTGGAAGAGGTATAATATGTTTATATAGGCTTTTGCCAGTTTATTTATGATATTAGAGGAAGTGTATTTACAGTATGTTTTTATAATCCACTTTTATATTTGTTTTTATACGTGAGCTGAAATAAATAAGCTTTTGCATCTACCTGTTTGCGTTTCATTGAATCGGCGCTGAGATTTTAATTAAAAACGAATTAAAACCAAAAGATCATTTTTATTAAATGAAATTAGTTAGGGAAGTAAGCAAAACATTCAATCTCTGAATAAACCGAGTATTTAACGAACACGATTAGCGCTTACCCGAATAAAATAGCTATTTGAAATTGAAGTAAATCGTTTCAAGTGTTATTGCATGCTTATAGCTAATATTCCCGTTCCGCGAGTCGGTAATATTCAATTTATAATCCTTCGCACTCATATTTTTAAGAGGAACATTATTAAAAGTTATATTTGAATTCCTCTCTCTTTCTTCTCTCTCAATTTCGGAGCACCTAATAATGCCCCTGTCCTAATTAATTAAGACAGTGAAAGGGTGCGGTTTCGAGTGATCGTCCTGTATATGTGTAAAAACAAGCCGGGGCCTCATCTGCATTACCATATCGAGTGTTCCGGCGCTGTTACACAGAGATAACGACGTCGGCGTCGGCATCAAAGCACCGACGTCTAAGTGCTGCCCTCTCAACGAATATACAAAGGAATTCAAACTTTCTCAAGCGAATGTCAAAATTCAATTCATATCGCTGCATAAATTGAACGAATTATTAGACTCTACAAAGCGAGGCCGACAAAACTCGCAACTTTGAAAATTGTTAAAATTGAATTGTTTTAAATAAATTATCTGATTACGTGTCGTGAGTGGTGGCACCAGTCTCAAGAACGTAATTTTTGTCATTGCGAAGAAAAAATCAATTTGGAGAGTAGTTGAATCGATAACAAGCTAGTGGGATGATTTCGTGCAAATTGCTAAATGTACTTTATTCAGCAAACGAATTCCCGATTCCCCTTTGAAGAGGTCGGTGTATGTGTTTTAGTATATCCTTTTATTCGTGTTTAATCAAAGTTTGTGACTTTGCGTCACGCAATCCAACACCAGAAGCGCCCTGCATAGCAGATTTCAAAACGAACTCTGATCTTATCAAATCATGGATCATGGATATACGAATACGACGTAGCACAGTTGCTCTTCCTTTGATTAATGTCAACTTAAAAAGAATTGAGCTTTAAAAGCACTCGGGGACACCATTCATTGAAGCATTAACTCTCAATGCAGAATTAAATTTATATCACACCAGACTTATCTATATTTTAATCGGCACAAAAATGCATTTCTTTAATTAACACCCACCCCACCGCCCAACAAAATAATGTAGTAAATAAATTTTGAAACACTCTGTATATTACCGTAGTGAGGCTTTTTGGACCATAAACATAACATAAATAAAAATACATTTTAAAGAACTTAAGGCTATAATTATATCAAATAATAAATGATACAGAGTATGTCAGGACTCGCACCCCAAAGAAAAATATCAAATAAGATAAAATACCAAGAACATGTTTAAAAAAATTGACATTATTGTTTGACATTTGATTTTTTATGTCTATTCAATGATATGCGTTTTTTTATAATTACTTAGTAAAGATACAAAAATATTGCCAATAAAAGCCACAAATAACATTAAACAGAGTTACAATGTCGGTTAAACTCTCATTTTTAGATAAAAATTTTTTGACATTTTTTTATGTTTCTGGTATCTCACCTTACATGCCATATTTCTCTAGGGCTCGAGTTTTGGCGCACGCTGTATAATAACTCGAAAAGTAATTGTTTGTCACAGAATTTTGATATTTTATTTCATAATACTTATGAACATCGAAAATCCTTTCAAAAAGACATTTGTTTTGCAACATTTTTGTCTAGTAAGTTTTTGAAAAACGAAATGCAAACTTTAGTTTTTGTATTTGTTTCATTTAATTCAGTCATAGATGGCTGGAAAATTATGCACCTGCATGAATTATTGCATTGTTTGAACGTTTTGTTGCTTATTCAAAACGATTTCTTGTTTTTCCAAAAAATGGAAAAAAATTTTTTTTGTTAAAACAATTTCGAGGATTTTGGTACTGTCTAAGTCGAAAAAGTTGCAAGAGAAATTTTACAAATAACAGACTGTTTTAATTCACTCCTGAGGATGGTTGATATTGTGTGTTATTTGAAATTTTATTATAATAAAGAATTTTTCGAATTATTAAAGAAAATAGAATTTTTTTTCCGCAATATGTACATACATAATTTACAAAAAATCTTTTAGCATTCCAAATTTAATATATTATTATCTATAAGGACTGTTTGGTGGAGTGTGGACATAGAAACAAAAATAGTAATAATTAGTATTTTAATTTTATAAAATCGAATTTTGAAATTGAACAAAAAGTTCATAATTTCCTTGTGCGATTTTCCTTGACCTCAGAGAGATAATTTTCCACATTGAATTACAATTCAGGTTAGGCAACAGACTATACAGTCTTGTATATAAAATCACAGAATGTATTCAAAAGTTATACAAAAGTTGAATAAAAACTAAAAAACCTCTGAATAGAGAGGGGCAACCTCATCGCAGTTTACAAATATGTATTTTATTACAAACACAAAAACATGTTATACAAAATAGGAACATAAAACCATATTTTTTCTAACGGAAATTATAAATGAAATCATAAGACAGGAATCTCTAAAACCATAAATTGGAGTATAAAAGTGTAAAAGCAAAAAAAATATAAAAAACAAAAAAACATAAAAATGATAAAAATTAAGCATAAAATAACACAAATCAGTAAATAACATGAACTAATAAATACAAAGAAAAATGTAACACTTGGAAATCGAAACATAAAATAAAAACTCTTTCAAAATACATTCAAAAA